GCCTCCAACCTAATAGCGATGGCCTCCAACCTAATAGCGATGGCCTCAAACCTAATACTTGGTGTTGCTTTCGGACATTTTTTCTTTTCTTTGCCCCGCCGCAGCCATTTGCGGCTTCGGTTCTGAGCCGTTGCTCTTGCGCAGCGTGGCAGGCCGGGCTTCAAACGAGCGCAGTACTAATTGGACACTTGTTCATACACCTCAAAGCAAAGCGTTCATCAAATAGAGCACCACCCGTCTCATACTACTCAATGTCACCCATGTCTTCATTCATCCTTGTCATGTCCAACGGATCCACCAATGGCCAACAAAGGATGTCTTCTTCCGGCTGCTTTGTTGGTTCCTGAATAGAACGGGGTGTAATAAGTGGCCTGCCGACACCACTAAGTGCAAGGCAGAAATGCTGAGCTCCGACGACACTGCCTGATAGATGTCTGAGAACTGACAATGAAAGAAAAACCTCTATGCAAGGGCTTGTACTCTTGTACTCCCGGATCGACGTTCTCTAATTTGCCGTAAAACGCGTTTACTTGTACTTCCGCAGTTGAAAAGATCAGGATTGAACATGTCAGAACCACGAAGTCCCAAGTCCCAACGCCATTGAAATGCTGATGCCCGACCTCTCAGCCGCACAATGTCCCGACCCCTCTCAGCCCTCGGGCCCCGACCCTCGGGCCGACTGCTGACCAGATCGGGCCTCGATCTCTATTTTGTCTAAAACGTTGTTTTTGTCTTTTGGCTGTGCCATTCTGAACTTGTAACTTTTTGTGTTTGTGATGTATTTTCTTTCACAAAGTTAAGAATGATTGAAATTGGAGGCATTGGAGACCACATCCCCCTAATAGAGGTGATGCCCAGATGGTGCATGATGGCTGAACGGATGTCTACATGTAATGTTCCAACTTGGAATAATAGGTATGATGTCCTTGGTGAGGGGTGTTTGATCGCGAAGGAAACTGCATGGGGAAGCCATGGCAGTCAATTTCATGAGACTATTGTGGGAAACCGTTTGATGATTTTTGATGGTTTGAAAAATTGGAAGAGGGCAAGGGCCTTTCTTCCCACAGGTAAAACTGGTGTGTGGTGAAGCGGATCTTCTGATCCACCCTTTTCTCAATGCCATCTATTGAGAGATAGCGTTCTGATCCACCCTTATTCCCCATTTTCCTTCTTTCTCTCGTCCTCCTCCTTCTCATCTTCCCTTTTCTTCTCACCCTTCTCTGCTCCAATCTGTCCTGCCACGGTGTGCTCACCAATCATTTCCCTCCTTCCTCATTCAATCGGTTTTTTTCTCCCAATGCTCTCGCAAGCAACATTTTTCCAGCTAGCGAAATTCAAAGCTCTGTAAAAGATCTTGGTTTTCAATGTCAAGCGCGCAAAAAGGTTCTCTTCTCTGTCCCGCTGCAGCCATTTACGGCTTCGGTTGTGAGCCGTTGCTTTTGCGCAGCGTGGTAGGCCGGGTAGCAAACGAGCGCAGAGCGTTCATCACATAGAGCAGCACCCATCTCATACTACTTAATATCACCCATGTCTTGATCCCTGTCGTGTCCAACGGATCCACCAATAGCCAACAAAGGATGTCTTCTTCCGTTTTTTTTGTTGGTTCGCGAATAGAACGGGGGGTAATAAGTGGCCTGCCGACACCACTAAAGTGCAAGGCAGAAAGACGCTGAGCTCCGACGACGCGGGCCTGACAGATGTCAAAGTTATGTTAAGAATGTTTGAAATTGGAGGCATTGGAGACCACATCTTCCTAATAGAGGTGATGCCCTGACGATGGATGTTGGTTGAACGGATGTCTACATGTAACGTTCCAACTTGGAATGGGTATGATGTCCTTGGCGCGGGGTGTTAGATTGGGAAGATTGGGGCGAGAAGGAAAACGCACGGGGAAGCCATGGCAGTCATTTTCACGAGACTATTGGGAAACCGTTTGGTGATCTTTGTTTGGATGATTTGGAAAATGGAAGAAGGAAGGCCAGGGTTGGAGGATGAAAGAGATGGAAGACAAAAAGTTTTCAATTGCCGCTAGTAACTGGGACCGGGGTGAGTGTTCTCAGATGGTTCTGATTGCTTGCAGGTTTCCATGCGGGCAGATCATCACCTTCCGGCAACTGCCACTCGGGCGAAGAACAGCCAAAACTGCAGGCCCCAGTCTCAAACCTCTCCATTGAACACGTTCAACAGGTGATTCGCACATGATTCGACGGTATGCAGCAAAGAATGCGTGTTGTCTGTCTGATGTTGCAGCTTTGTTTGGCGCGCAGGTAATCGCAAAATCGTCCACTTGGTCCACTAGCAGAAATCTTCTCCGCAAAGGGGAGGGAGGTGGTTTCATACATGTCTGCTAATGTATGCAGATCGGAAATAAAACGGCCAAAAAGGAACAGAAGCGTCGAGCAGTTCTCCGAGGTGCACAAAGTCCTCCTGACAACCTGCCCGGCACCTCTTCAACAGGCATACGCGACTGTGCCACTACGCCAAACAGGTTGCTTGTGCGCCTGGCGCTCGACTCCACAAAACATGGGCGGGGCCTTAGGGCACACGCTGTGTTCAAGTGTGGGATGCCTTCACTGAGCCACTAGGCTTTGGGTTGCCTCAACAAGCTACAACAAGGAGGTGCTGTTGCTGGAAGGTGGCTGGCTGGAAGGTGGCTGGCTGGAAGGAGGTTTTCTCAGGCTTCAGATGAAAGAGTCAACGGCTTACGCTTCAATCGTGGCAAACGAAAAACAGTCAACACAGAGAGAGAGAGAGAGAGAGACAGAGAGAGGGAGAGAAGAGAGAGAAGAGAGAAGAGAGAGAGAGAGCGCGAGAGCGAGAGCGAGTGAGGGAGAGGGAGAGCGAGAGGGAGAGCGAGAGGGAGAGCGAGAGCGAGAGAGGGAGAGCGAGAGAGGGAGAGCGAGAGAGGGAGAGCGAGAGCTAGAGGGAGAGCGAGAGGGAGAGGGAGAAAAATGCCGCTGCACGTCTTTTCTGCACTTTGCCTTGTGTGTGGTGGCACTCGCTGAGGAAGCAGCGTGGAGCGTGCGTGAGGGGAAGCCTTGGGCCATACACACTTGCTTTCCACTTCATCCTGCCATAGAGCGCCCAACAGAAATTGTAGCGGGCTGTGAAGCTGATCCAGTTGCTGCGCCAGCTGCCGAACAACAAATGGACAGAGGTGGCGCCGGCGCCTGCGACGTCTGCTGCAGCGCGGAAGCGGAAGGCGCAAAAACCAAGGTTTTCATTGAAGACCTTCTTTAGTGTTTCAAACTTTACTCGGTCGGCGCAATGCTTCCATCGGGAGCTAGGGGTGGGTTGCCAACGCGTCAGTGAAAGTGGAGACGCACGTTTTCCTTCTGGTGGTCACTGACACGCATACCGGGTATGAATAAAGGTACTTTCTATATGCTCTCTTGGTTCGCTCTTGGTACCTCCTTGAATATGATACCTTCTGGTGGATTCATGCATATGAGAAGAGAACGCGTTTCGTATTTTGTGCGGAAGAGGGTACAATATTCTTTCCAACATTTGCTGTCCGAGTTATCCACAATGAATGTAGCTTGAGCGCTTGGTTCCTACTTCACAAGAATGCCGTGACCGGCCCAGGTCACAATGGCCCCTGCGCTAGTGAGAGGCCAACACTTAACTGTGTGGGACCGTGACCAGAAACAGGCAGTGACCAGGAACAACAAAACCAGCTGTTGCAAAAGTGTCTCACGTGACTCACAAACAGACAGGAACACAGTTTCCACCAACACACGCCTACGCTTGATGCAGATGCGTGGAGAAAAAGCGCAGGCCTTGGCTTTTGTTAATATTTTTCGGGCAGTGGGAAACCATTGCCACGAATAGCGATGCCCTCCAATCTAATATAGATGGCCTCCAACCTAGTAGCGATGGCCTCCACTCCAATATAGATGGCCTCCAACTGAAAGGTAAATTGCTTTCTAATGCTGTCTACATGTCCAGCTTGCCCAAAGAAGGCCTCGCGAAGACCGAGGTACGGGGAGCCTGCACCGGACCCAACCAACGGTCGCGCAAGGTGTGAAGACTCGGCGTCGCACGGAAAAGTAGTTGAACTGGATCATGCTTGGAAAGCAATGCTTGCTTGGATGTTCCCAGCTTATGTTTGCATATTAACCAGAGGAAAAATTGGTTATTTTTTGCTTACAGGGCTGTCGTGATGAACCAGGTCTTTCTACAGCAATGTTGAAGATTTGGAAAGTCTTGGGTTGTGGATGTCCAGCCGCTGGTTGGTAGGCGAGTCCAGAGTCAGAGTCGACGTGTTTTTTGTTTCTCGAGGTGGCACACGAGAGACGGCGACTTTGTCAACAATTGGAAGAACAAGGAACATCCGCCCTATGGGGCACACAATTCCCAAGAATACGACGAGAAACACGGTCGTTGGTGGTGGCAGAAGAAGGACTGGCAGTTTTTGGTGGACCTTGTTGTTACAAGAAGTGTATCCAATTTGTTCTTCTCATTTTATTATGTTTGTTTTTGGTCTTGACCTCAACTCCACATTGTATATGTTTGCTTACAAGACTGCTACTGCTGAAGAGATACTGTTTTGGCGCTGCACCGAGCTTGTGGCAAGATGACAGGAAGTCATGCGTCCGAAACTATACACCACCATTGGCCAGCATGCACGCAAACCTGGGCTTAGCAGGACAATCGTCAGGCCTCCCATACTTTGCCACCGTGAAACATTTTAAAACTCGGATATTTTTCACCTCAGCCGAGCAAGTGTTCACCTTCCTGTCACAGATGAAAGAATTTGGCGTTGTTTTCTGTGCTGTTTGTTGGGTTTTCTCATGTACCATCTCACTTGCCCCTCAGGTGGGCTGGTTGCACGCCAAATTTTAAGAAGTTGAAACGGGATGTATATAGAATCTTGGTGCCAATTCATTACAATGTCAAGTGTTCCCGCGTCCTTTTGTTGAAATCCTTTTACTACGCAGAAGAAATAAGTACTAAAACATCATCAGTTTCGTAGCAAATCTAGCTTCACAGAGCACCAGTTCACAGTTTGGATCTTAGCATGTCAAGGAAAAAGATGGCCCAAACCGGAGCACCTCAACTACCGCCTGTTTGCGGAGTTCTGCCTCAAGGTTTGCTGGCTTGTCAACTTGTGCTCCAAGAGCCATCCACACGGTGACAAGACTCCAACACTCTGATCATGTTTGATCTAGTCAAGTTTTGAAACGTTGACTCCAAGCTAGACCGGAATGCTGCATTGTCTAAATCCTGCTCTTGGGATCAGCGTACCATGGGACTTGTCAAGCCCACATCTTGTATCATTACATTTGTTGAGTGAACTTTTGTCAGTGCAAAGACGGTATGTTTGAACATCAGGAGAACATAGGAGAACCGCGTTTTTTTGCATCGTGGTAGAGTTGACAGTGGCTGTGCTGTTTCTCAGGAGTTCAAGAAAAGGACCCTTTTGGAGACGGCACATACTCTACCTTTGTGCGCCATAACTACACATGGAATGGAGTGACCATTGGATGAACTGACTCGAGAGGTACGGTGCAGGCTGCAAGTTCTGGAGAGCGCCTGATGAAACACATGGAGAGACCAAGGGACAATACTTCATTGCCGACAAGGTGGAGTACAAGCTACGACCAATCAAAGGATCTGAAACGACAACCGTGCACATTGCCACACTAGATTTGGAATTGCACATTGGAATAAAGACTTGCAAGAGTAATGCTTAGATGTGCTGAGATCACCTAGGTAATTGAATGAAGGGGTCATAGATATTCTAGCATCCAAGGAGGGAGACTCATGTCTGAGCTCAGAAGCAAAGTCACAGGCCAAATTGGAGGCAACTGCCAACCCTGCCAACCCTTTTTCTGATGCCCCGTTGCGAAGGAGAGATCCGAGGAACACAATACCTTTTTGGTCGACCAGCTCGTCAGGGCATTGCACCCATTGCCAAATCCCTCGGGCTTCGGCCCTAGCTATTTGTTCCTAATAGCTTCTTGTTACTACTAGTAAGGCACTTGTTACTAGAAGCGATGCACTTAGACCGTTCTTTTTCTTAGCGTCCTTGCTCCTTGTAGCGATGCCAGGAGCTCCTAGTAGTAAGGGCAGGAGCCCCTAGTAGCGTCCTTGCTCCTATTGGTGATTTGTTAGGTATCACTCTGTCATCACTATGTCTAAGTATTTACAAGATCTGCAAATTGTAATACGTTTAATGCATCGAGAATGCTGGCGCTTTAGGTCGTTGTGATCTTGCTTTCGCAGTATTTCGCAAGGATTTAGTGTATTGGCATGGGAGTGGATTGGCTTGAATGGATCGCACCTAGTTTCAACATGTTTCAACGAGTCTTCCCTCGGCCAAAGACATTTACTTTACTTTGTGTTACTCCTGCAGATGCACTTCTTCACAGAGTTTCTGAAAGGGAGGGGTATTTATTTTTGGATTGTTTTTTTGTTTTCTTTTTGTATTTTTTTGTTTTTGCTGGTGGCTTTTGGCTTTTGTTTCTTTGTTGGCTTTTGGTGGCTTTTGGCTTTTGTTTCTTTGTTGGCCTTTGGTGGCTTCTCTTGGCTTTTGGCTTTTGGTGGCTTTTGGCTTTTGTGGCTTCTGGCTTTTGTGGCTTTTGGCTTTCGTGGCTTTCGTGGCTTCTGTGGCTTTTGGCTTTTTGGCCTATCCATCTATCTGTCTATACCAATCTATTTATCTATCTTTCTTTCTTTCTTTCTTTTTGGCAGCTGTTCTCCTTTCTCTTTTTGTATTTGCTTTTCCTGTTGTTTTCGTTGCAGAGACGAAACCAAACAAGGAAGCAAGCAAGCAAGCAAGCAAGCA